ATGAAGACTCAAGCCTCCCCTTCTGTAGCAAATAAGGCTTATACACATGCAGTGGCCAAAAGATGATGGCTTTGTTATCCACCAAAAAGGAGATATAATATAACAAGATCACAAGTGAAATTTGGATCAAAGGAGAACAAGGTTTTTTTGCCTCTTGGAGAATTTTGTCAATAATTTTTTTTGAGTCTTTGTTGCTGCAAACATGACTGTCAAAAAAACTTTTCCCATAAATTGTCCTGTGTTAGCCTGTACATTTAGTGATCATAGAAATATTGCATTACACAGTGAGATCAGGCTCATATTATGAATGGCATGCCCAGTGGTGGCGAGTTCCTAGAAATCCAGAAAGTCTCTTCTTGCAAAGGTGACACGCTGTTATATGCTGTGCAACTAAACACTAATCTAAAATTCATTTACCCAAAGCAATCTTTGTGTAATCCATCTAATCTTAGTAAGACAAGTTCATGAAGCATTGTTTGATGAGGTCTCCCCGTATTTGTGAAATTGTCACTGAGCATGCCCTGACAAGACTGCACAAGATATTAATCATTATGTGAAATAATCAATTCAACCTTTCTGCCCTTTACATTTATAATTTATAGTTTAAACTTAGGAGGTATGATTATAAATACATTTACACTGAACTAGGGATATATATTTGGCTGGCATGTATTATGAAGGTGGGCATAACAGTACACATGAGATATTACCTATCAGTCAAAGGCATGAAAAATTCTATTCTAGCCAGTGCTGTAGCTTAAAATAGGTTGGCCTTGCCATATCAGTGTTGCCAAATATTTAACAATCAGACATGAAAACTCAACTGATTAAATGAATGGTGACTAAGATTGAATTTTGTTGGTTGAAAAATATTCTTCTTTTTAATAATCTATCCATTGAGCATAGAAAATGCAAAAAATAAACAGCTTAGGATTAGAATGGTTTGTTTAAGAATCATTGTGTTTGTGTGTATGGTGAGGGGCATAAGGGCTGATGATTCATTGCCAGAATTTAGGCAACTAAGGTTTAAAACCTATTCTTAAAATATTATGCAAAACTCATAAAAAAACACCAGACAAGCATCCCCTTCCTTAAAATGGCCAACTTGTAATGCATAAAACTCAAATTACATGTCCTCATATTATTCTCAAGATTTTCTTGTAAATAATCTTTACGGTGATGCTTCTAAAAGCTTATAAAATGTATTAAAAAAACCCACACCTTTTTTCATACAGACATAAAAATTACAGGAAAATTATAAACTATAAACAAAGAGCATTTTTAAATAGGTCGTTTAAACGATGTTTTCAAATATCATAGTATGTACCTTTACCTCAGAAAGCTAGTTTCAGTGAAATTAGAAAATTTTATCATAGAAAATTCCCATTGTGGGAAAAACAATATTCTGTAAAAAAAAATTCAAGTAATTATTTGATTTCAGAAATTAATTGGTTACAAATTAAAACTATTATAAAAAAAAATCTGGGATATTTATTTTGATTTGTGTTGGACAATATACAACATTGATAACTTCCGAATATAGAATTTTATCACCTGCATTTTCTAAGAATATCTCATAGTAATAAACTTCATGAAGGATTGCTCACACTGGTAGAAGCAATATTTATATTAAATCTAATTATCTTGGGGTGTTCTACTTTTTAAAAAATTAAAAAAAACAACTACTGCACCAATTGACAAAATATTTGGTTAAATAAATAAATAAATGAGAGTCCAAACTTTTTAGAAACCTTCGAACCAAATGAGAGAAATAAAAAAACAAAAATTCAATAAATGAAACCCATTTACATAAGTTGTCATAAGAAACCAGATATTCAAAATAAGTAAGGAATGAATTAAAATTTGTTTTAAAAGCAAAAGAGTGAAAATAAGAGACTTGAATTACAGCTGTCGTGAAAAGAACAACTGGCTGCTTTCAAATATTGAACCATTTCACAGTTAATTGGGGGTATACAGAACAAAAAAGTTTTTTTTACAAAGTATATGCTGGGAAGGATTATTAGAGGTGGGGTAAAAGGAGGATTATTAGGGGGAGTGAAAATTAAGAAATGAAAGAGTTGTTTCCCATGATCTAAAACGATTTGTTTCCACTCTCAGCAGCAGTGATTAAATGAATTATTGAAGCATAATCATAAATGCTGGGCAGGATACCAGGCATTATTAATCAAGGGTACAGCATAAATGTTGGGAGTCAAATTATTACAAAAAGTTTCCATCTCTTGTTTTTTTCCATTAGATATAACCTACCTTATCTTTTTACTTTATCTGTTTTTAAAGTTAAAGAGAACCAACAATAGCAATATATGTTGAAATCTATCAATGGAATCTCACCTTTTTACCTATCAAAAATTAACATTTGAGCTTAGGAGCAATAGGTAAAGTTGATATCCACTGGGATTGACATTAGTTTTGTAACCTCTCATGGATTTGATGATGTCTTGTTGTTTTTTTTTTATTTACTGTACCTTTAAAAAACAATAGGGTTCTCAATGTGGATTAAAAAAACAACAACTATTAGTGAATTGCTCCCCACAGTTATATTCAGTTGCTTTGGATTATGCGTAACTTTATTTACATAAATGACGAGAAACTTAGAGTTTTATCCCATGAAATATTTGTCTCCAAAATTTTTACCTGGTGCTGAAAATAGTGGGATTACAACAGTAGCAACCTACAGAGCCCTGGTATTATTCCCAAACATGTGATCAAACCAATATTAATCCAAAATGTAAAAAAATTTAATAACATCGAACAGGTTCTGCTTACTCTGGTATAAAGGCTGAAAAAATAGTTCAAACTCCACCTCCTCAAATTGATAATTGATCAGAATATTGCCAAAAACTAATGGTTTCAAGTTTGAAATTAAAAGCACCCAAAATGACATAAAGAGCTAACAAATATGACAACTGATACCCATACAGCCAAGATAATATGAAGTTCATCTTTTAAAATAATTAAATAGAAACATCTCAAATAATTATAAATTCTTTCATCAAAATATAATTTGTATATTTAAAAAAAAAAATCAAAAGGGTTTAAGCCCAACATCAATGTTAAAAACAAAAAAAGTCTGACAACTCTAAACTATGGACAGAACACAACACTATTGACATGGGCTGACATGAACATAAACGTAAGTTGTATGTATTCCACAAAGTTACTTCAGTTTCTGGGGTTAATTTTTCTCTATGTACACAGTAACTAATATTGTACAAATATACCAACCTTTACAAAAGGCTTCTAACAAGTTCTTTTTGAGAATTTTATGCAGCATAAATACCCAGTTCTATTTACAATAATATACCACATCATTCATACAAATATTTTTTTTTAAATCTCAAAATTAATGTTTGGATTAAAAAAAAAATAATCTTAAACAAAAATGCTCCCAATATTTACAGTTAAAAAGAAAAATTAGGTTATTCTTTTTTATAAGTGAGACTAAAACAGCAAACAGCAGTGTAATTATGAAATTATTATGAAATATGTGCAGGGTTATGTAAAGCCTAACCCTAAGTAACAAACTACATTTTCCCTAGAAAATCAGCTACTAATGCCTAATCCGAAGTACATGATTATTATATATAATGTGTATGTGGTTTATAGTTTTCTTTTACTTAATGTGCACAAACATATATGACATGTTCTAAATCAAGGAAATTGGAATAGAAATTTTACAATGTCACACTTTCATCATGTTATATATATAAATATAAAAGTGCATTCTAGTTAAATATTTATAGTGGAAGGAATTAAAAGAAATATTATCAACAACTGATTGCATGAGCTTCAGCTGGATTGACTTTTGTTTTCTTTCTACTAAACACTTCGGTTTACAAAATAATCCCTTCAATGCTACATTTCATAAGTGTACAAGAATTTCAAATTACTTGAATGCTTTGAGTTTAAGGTAATAGTAATAGACACCCATTTTCCTTTTCTCCAGAAAAGATTTGTGTTGATTTCTTATAATTACATTTCTCTAAAGTTAAATTATGACAGAAATCCATAACAAAAGCTGTGCTTTATCAAGGGAAAAATATTGATATTATAATAATAGTAAAAAAAATAAGTGATTTTCCCCCTAAATTTTATTTAAATGTATAAACACTTTGTGACTTTAGTAACAAGTTATATCACATGTGAAAATAAAAAAACTACACACACACACAAATGATAAAAAAAAAAAAAATTAACAAGCAAAGACAGGCACACAATTTTTGTAAATGAATATCGATAATATAAAGAACTGATATTAATAGTAGGTTTGACCTAATTGGATCTTAGACTTCTTTAGACCTGATTATTCTTCCAAAGACTTTCATTGTTTTTAGCAATCTATATCAGTCAAACCTATGTAGTTTCTGATCCAAAGAAATTGTTAATTTGAGTTTATTTAAGTGCTACCTTATAACTGACTAACTGACATAATCATTTAAAAACTACTTTATTTTAAAGGGAAGGAATCTTATTATTTAAGAGCCAAGGTCTTTAAAAAAAAAAGAAGTTCAATAAACTTCAGCTTTTCTTCAAGAACCAAGGCTTAAGAAATTCATAAAGGCACACAGCTTAAAATCTGAGTGTTCAATGATTATTTTACTTGGATCCCATGTCCTCTCTGTTAAGTAAATATATTCTTAAAATGGACAAAAAAATGAATGCTAATGCTACCTGGCGTAATAAATAAATACCAGTAAATTGCACAAAAATATAAAATAAGGTCTGGGAAAATTATATAATACATTCAAAATAAAATTGCCATCAACATGTTTTAGAAAACGCATTAGGACGCATATGATATCTTTGAAAATATGCCCCAATTTCAAATAATCTATTATTCTTTTAAAGAAAATAAAAAAAATTAAAGCATAAAAAATACCTTATTTTTTATAGTCTTTTGCATTGACAAAATGACAGTGAACACTTATTTCACTATTTGTTTTTTATCTTTAGATTTAGAGATATTACTCTCTTATTTAGAACAGTTTCATAGTTATAAAACAACCTTTTTTTTTAAAGAGAATGCTTCATCTAATACAGACATTTTCTACATGAAAGCATTTTTAGGGTGGGTTATACAAGTAGAAAAACCAAAAATAAAAACATTTCTTCTGCCAACCCCAGGATTGAGGACAACTAAAATGCACAATATCACAAAATAGGCTTGGAGAGTAAATACACAAAAGTTATGTTTTACATCACAATTACTTTCAATAATCAACTAAATAGAAGTGTGGTATCCATCATCTGGTTCTGTACATTGACTAAACAAAAAAAAAATGTAGCAGAGGGAAATCATCCTTGAAAATGGTTTCCCAATCAGGCACATAGACATCCTTTTTGAAGGCTATTCCATGTCTGTAGAGGATGTGGTTTAATGGTATGGTTTAAAATGAGTTTAACATTTAAGACTGAAGCCACAAAAAGACTGGGTGGCCATAGAGGACTTTCATTTCGAATTGAGGCTTTCAGTGACTCCTCTCAGAAAGGATTGCTATATTATAGCAGCTTAGTCTGCTTAGTGATCATTTTTAACTTTGAGCGGATGAGGCTTCATGACATCTGATATCATTTGTCAACACTTTGACATCATCATAAGACTCTGCAGCAGCATGATATTTCTATCTGGGTGCCTCGCCACCATATTTGAGCAAATTTTTCAAGTTGTCAAAAAGCTGGGGAAAAAAAATATTAAAAGATTTAGGTAAATAAAAACATACAAAAATGAATCAAGAGCAAAATAATTAATATTACAATAATAAGCAAGTTGACTAAATGAACAGTTTGTTTAAAAAAAGGATCAATTACCTGTAAAACCCAACTAGTGTTCTCCAAGCACTTCTCTAGGATAACCTCATCTGAAAGGTTCTCATTCTTGTTGCTTTCCTTCATCATTTTTACCTAATAACATAACATTTCAATATATCAGAATAAGCATCAAATCACAAATGAAATTGATTTTCTTGTTGAAAAAAAAATTAATGTGTCACAAGGTTATTGTTAAGTGATACATTAAACTGATGCCAATGCCTTTTCTGAATATTTTGTAAGCTTTCACCACCATCTTATCAGAAAAGCTGTTTCAGATCTGTCCTGATTTGAGAAACTTGTTGATTGTTACCAGTGTTCACAATAAATTTTTTCAAAAGCTCTACCTTAGCATCACATCGTTGACGTAGCCAATACTTGAAATGGTACAGAGAATGGTAAGTCCTCACATAGTAAGCAGCTACTTTACCAATCATGAATTCCTGCAAATAAAAAGTTTAATCATCTAAAGAGTTGTCATTTTCTTATTTTATCATTCATATAATAAATCTTTTTATAAATACTTCCTTTGTTTCTGTATTCTCTGGCAAGAAAATTGCTTTTATGATTTATTCATCCCTTAACTCATTCCCGACATTTGCGACTAAATGAGTCTTTTACGGATTTCGCCGGATGCGTCCAAATGCGTCCCGGCGCATAGCGACACACCTCTCTCATATCTATTTAAAAATAGCAATGAAATTTCGCATCCCTCGAGACTTCCGGCGATGGCGTGGTTCAACGTGATTTTAATTTAAAAACCGGAAGTTTTTATCTTGTTTCACTTTAAAACTACGTGTGCTTTAGTATGGCGCGTCTATATGTAGCATGTGTTCGTCCGAGGTGCCGAAAATCGATTTTTTGGCCATTGTTCCTTATTTTTTCCCCGCTAATGTTATATTTATATTAAACCTTATTCATTCTTTGATGCATTTGTTCTTAATTGGTTAACATTAAATAATATTTAGTAGCTTAAATACTTAAATATTTAAAAAATGTAAACAATTTCGAAACGGGGTTACTTCCCTTTCTCAGGCAAATAAATTAAATACGGAAGTAGCATTGCAGGAGGGAATGAGTTAATTATCTCAGGGTTTCAAACAAAATTTTGAGGAGCTTTCACCAATCTAAATTCTTGTGCGCTGATTGGCATTCTTAGGGACTCTCTTTTTCATTCTTTAAATATCCACTAAAACTATGACTATTGAACTTTTGCATTCAATTAACTTTTATTGGGCCCCCGTGGCCCGAAAGTAACCTCTTTTCAGCCAAGAAGCAGTGGGTTAAAATTCATTCATGGTTGTTGGCAGGCATGGGGTAAATAGCCAGGTAGAATAGGCCCATTAATGGGAGGAGGTAAAATGCCCTGGTCGGAAGCCCACAACAGACTTGGCGTTGGATCAAAAATTGTCCTTCAATTAAAAAAATTTGTATATTTCAATGTCAAGTTTGAACTACCGGGTACGGGAATAAATCAGCAACTACTATAACCTTCTTAAATATATGAATATTTCTTTCAAAATTTTGTGTGTAATGACACGTTACATCTAGCTGGAGAATTTTAAATAAGTGACCACGCATGAATTCCAGGAGTAATGACATTTTTTTAAAAATATGTTTTTCCATATTCCATGTGTTAGTTCTATTGGATCAAATCAAATAATTGATTAAAAAGACATGAGTACATGAGTACAAAATAAAAAAACTTAAATGTTTGAAAAAAAAATGAGTCCATATTTGAGCAAGTGACATCCATTTGGCTAGAGAACAAACCTGAGCGACATCTAAGCCAATAGTTGGCTGTTCAACCAATAAAAATCTGTCATAGGGTTGGCCACTGAGCAGTACCGATTTGATGGTTGGCGGACTTGAATTTTCACTAGCCTGAGGAATAGAACAGATCATATTCTTGGAGTGTTAGATAGGAGAGCAAAAGAGAATAATTTAATTACAAAACTGTCAAGTTAATTCATCAAGAAATACAATATCCCATCCAAATTGAAACAATTTTTGTCTATCTAGTCCATTTATAGAAGATAGAAAAATTCTACATTACTCAAAATTACAGTAATAATTTGACTGATCTCAGTGATCATTTATTCAGACAGCTATAATAAACTCCTTTTCTTCACGTTTTGTTTCATTGATACTATGTGTTACAAGATACAGAAGTTACTATGCCTTTCTTTTCTAAAAGTTTTGACTCCCTTATGACAGCATACAAAATTTAAAAGTTTAGAGATGAGGTGAAAATTATAAATATATATTTTTAAAGAGATAACAGTTAATATTTTCTTTAGACAATGACAGATAATTTTTTTTTCTTTGTGCCATTTTGAGCTCAGCCAGAGACTGAAATCAATTTTTAAAAATAATGATTAAATTTAAGTTTTTTATTTGCAGATCTTCAACTTACTTGACAAGGTTGTTTAAGGTTTGGACGGTCAATTTCTTTCATTAGTGGGCACCTATGAAGACATTCCTAAATAAAAAAAGCACAAACAGTTGAAGCCATAAATATCCACCAGTCAATAGAAAGGTTATGTCAGAAACATTTCTTTAGAACTGTTGTTCTTAACCAGAGGTGACCCAGAAAATTAGATTTACTGCCATTGCCAGTTGTTGCTGCCTTTAATAAACAAAAATGTTTATATTCATTTCGATTAGCAGCAGTAAATCTGGAGATTCTGTTTTGGGCTTAAACTTGTATTGTCCCCCCCCCCCCTAATAGGAAATTAATTAAAGAAATAAAACGATGATAACTAAATTATTATTTTCATATTTGAAATTTTATTGCAACATAATTTAAACAGTCTGTTTAAAACTGAGGGGGGACTGCAGTGCTGCAAAAAGGCTAAGAATCCATGCCCTCCAGCATTTACTAAAATCAAGCGCGGGCGTGTGAAAAACCCCCAATTTTTCATTCCATTTCACTTCACATGGCAGTCCTAATTTCATGACTCCCAAATCCATATTTGGACATAAATTCTCACGACTGCTAGTTTTCACTACACTCATATTCTCCTTCTCCGTGACGGCCTCGCATACCTGTATTGATTCTTTCAGTTTTAAATTTTTTTAAAAAATTGTTGTATCAAAGAATGATGTTAAAAATGTAATTTAGTGTTATTATGTGAATTTTTTTACTGTAATACTCTGCTTTTCATGTGAGGTCATACTGCTTAAACACACCTCGTCACAAAAATGTGACACCTCCCTGCCTCCAGATGCGTGACATAATTTATGGATGGCCCCAAATATCTATCTTTCTACACTCACAAATATATATATTTATAGATATGTTTGTGTGTTTATAGAAAGATATATATAAATAAAGAGAGAGAGTTAACTTTTATTTCAAATACATAATTATAATTTGTTTTTAACTGAAAACTGATAAGAACAAAATAATAAATAAATATATCTAAATTATTGTATTTAGACTAGATTAGATACATCTTTATTTATTCCATAATTAGCCTCATCATTTGCATTATTTAATCAACCATCCCCAGCAATGAGGTACTCACCTTGAAGGAAGCTTTCCAGTGCGCCTGTCTGGTTATTTCTTCACATTTGTTTTCAATCATATGGTCTATTTGATTTAAAGCATCCACATAAAATTTCTCTGAAATAAAACCAAGAACATAGGTTTCAAAATGACATGTCTATAGTAGGTTTTAAACTGACATGTCTATGACATGATCCCTAGCTAAATACAAAATTGCAACAAACTTGCAATCAATCTTTTTGTGTTTTAAATTAAAAGATTACAATGTCTATTATAAAACCTTACAGCTAAATTAAAATGGGATTTAAAAAAAAAACATGACTGAAGAGGTAGTTTGAATCTACAGCCAGAGAATCTTGAAAACCTGATATACAAGACTTGCTAGTTCCCATCAAATCTCAAGCAATTACAATAAATTTTCAAAGAAAAACATCAATTTGTTGAATTGACACAAATATTTTAAAAGAAGGATTTATGATATTTTGAGTTTAGCCCAATTAGTTAAATTCTTATGACAGAATTTAAACCCTTCTGTAACTTGGTGGGTTTAAAATAGACAAAGATCTATCAATGCTACATGCCCACTCAATATAATTACCACTGGTTTCAAGAATGGCTGAGAGAAAATTGGGTTCCAAAGCTTGACTCAGGAAAACTTGCAGGTACACATTGAATGGTTCAACCAGAGGATCATCTTCATACTGCATTTCTAGTCTGTCAAAAAAACAACAACAAAAAACCCCACAATATTCAGTACCTGTATGTTATTTCTTTCAAACAACTACATTAACTCTTTTCATTCCTCTTATATAGAGAGCGTACAACTATATACGTTGGTTATTTTCGCTAATAAAATATTTTCTTTTTTAATTTTTAAGTGTTCTATACCTATTTTATCATACATTTGGAAGAAAAATATTTAAAAAAAAAATATTTAAAGTTTTTAAATAAAAATTGACTTTTTTTGCGAGTTCGAGGTTCACGTGACATGCCGAAGCGTTACTCGTCATTTTGGGAAAATTTGTGCAAGACGCTAATCGACTCGGCCCAAAATTTTAAATAATGAATACTACTGACGAAAATATTGATCAAATTTATCTGAAACATCTGGGAAAGATAGTTGGGAACCTAAATCTAGTGACTTTGATTTAGATTTTGCTGAGAATCTGCCTTTATAGCCCATTATAGTCACTAAAACTAGAAGGTTAGTAATCGAGTGTTTCGTCATTCTATATTTTTTATAGATTTTTTACTTTTATTTTTATTTTATCGGTTTCAATTGTATTTAATAATCATAATTGAAGTATTTACTACCCATTTTAAAATGAATCTACGCAAATAAAATCATTGTATAATTTGCGAATATTTTTTTACATAAATAATTTTAGAAGACGTTATGCTTAGAAACTGTTGCTAAGGATTGTAAACAATGCAGTGGGCACTTATTATTATGATATATTTCATCCAAGAGACCATGAAATTTGACATCGATGTGTGTTATAAAAAATTAATTATCTGACACTAATTTTTTTTTTTGAAATAACGGTTTTAGACAGTATTTGAAGTATTAAAAACTTTAAATTTAAGTAAGTATATATTTTATATTCATTGCATCCCTAATAGTTGCATCATATAGGTCTATAATATTAGTTCTTCTTTTACATTCACAGGCTAGGCTTGCATGAGGTTTGAGATGATGACCCACTGGTTCCCACTCCTAAGTTTCCCCCAACCCGAAAGCCAGGCTGACATGTGTGGGAAGAAATGTCATCATAACATGGCTACAATCTGCACCCTAAAGTCTAAGGATTTTCAAGATATTTCACTGAATTTGGTTAAAACATTTGTAAAATACACCTATTCAACTACAATGGGACCTTCTAAACCTTCCATCAACTGTGGTTTGTTGATATCTCAACAACATACCACTTTTACACATTTCTTGGACTACTAATGTGGATGTCAACTGTACAAGTCCTCAGTGTACAAAAATACTCGTCAACCGCAACAATGTTTCACTACTACCATGAATTGTGGGCTTATGCCGTATTCCCAAAAACAGAATATTGAAACAAACAATGAGGACAAACTGTGCAAAGTGAACTTGTCAGACTTTATCAGAAGTAAATAAAGATAAAAACCAAAGCAATGTGATATGATGTGATGGATAAGAGATAATATAATTTTTACTATGTTCAGTGGAGAGAAAAGCCTCACTTATTTCAAATAGTATGACAGCAAATGGATTTTCTTTTGTGAACAAAACCAAAACTGATTTGTGTCTTTCTACGCAATTATTGGGGAGAAAACCAAATATTGTCAAATCAGATTTTGAAATCATACAATTCATTCCTGTGACCTGTGTGGTGTTGACCAGTTGATAAATGAATATATCAATCCCTTTTTCCATTTTATTGATAATGCCAGCTATAATCTCTTCAGGATTGTTCAAAAGAAAACTATGATATAGATGAACTGAAGCTACCTGACATTTTATTCTCAACTGACTTCACCGAGGAAATTATTTTAGCATTTGATAATTTACTAAAAGTGATGCAGTTCCAAGTGCTGCAAATGTAAATAACACCATTTACAATCTAAATGCAATAATTCCTGATTGTATAGATTTTAAAAGCAATTGTCAGTGTGCTAGTGTTATAAATTAGGAATGCTAAGACAATAAAATTATAAATCAAATATAGCGCATGGTAAATTTATCTTTGTTAAAAAACAAGAAACTTTCTGACTAATAGTACCATGAAGTTTAAAATCCCTATGATATTTTAAAATCTTGAAGTAATTTTTAAAAGGTAAAATAATAATAACCTGTAATTTTTATGAATACTTGGTGGGGGATGGTGATTTTTATTTTTTAAAAATTATTTCCCATTTTTGACACATTTAACAAAAAAATTTATATTTGGGTCAAATTCTCATGAAATGTTCTAAATCATGCATATAATATAAGAAAATGAATTTGCTTTCTAAATAAACAGATTTTATTAAATAATTTCATGTGGTTTGTTTTTTTCCTTCTTTGTATGTGATCGCCAATTTTTTTAAAACACATTTTCATTAAAAAAAAAGTGAATTTTTTTTTTTCATAACTTCTAAGTACTGACACTATGTGTTTGAAAACAAATATTTTTAGAAACCTTATGCATTTCCCCACAATAATACATATAACATCATGAATTTTAGACAAGGATTTTAAAAGTTACTGACTCATTTTTAAGGTCACTAGAAATCTCATGAAAAACATGCAAAATTCAAGGAATGTAAAGATTAATCTCCCATATTTCTAAAATATTGGAAAAAAGAAATAGTAATGCAAACCTCTCCACATCTCAACATATTGACATTAAAAAAAATCTAACTTCCATCTCTGTGAGGTCTGAGTGAGCTAAAATAAATCAGCACCACTTGTGACAAGCCAGTAAAACAAATATACATACCTTCCATCACTAGGTAGTTTGGGTCGGCATTCTTCCAAGACTTCCACAGTTTTGGGGTCACTTTTACTTTTAGCAAAAACTTCTCGCACCTGGATCAGTTCAAACTGGCTCTCCATAGACTGCATCCAGGTAGAAAACTGGAATAAGTAAAACATACAGGATAATGAAGAGATCATACATATATTTAAATTTTAGGACTGTCTATTTATATGAAAACAAGAAGGCCTGATTTTAAATTTCTACAGGGTTTGCAGGCAGTATATATTTGAAATTAGTCTTTATATATATCATTTTACTTTTAATGATACACCTCACTCTTAATTATAAACATGTTGCTATTTAAAAAACAACAATAACACACTGGTGAGGAGGGGGGGTGTGTGGAAAGGGTGGTTATTTGCTATTAATTGGTTAGTATTTTAAAGCTATTTCATATTTGTAAGTCAGTAATATAATGTTTACGAACTTTATATTTTACTAAAAACTTTTTGTACTGCTTCTACTGGTAAAGGTGGACATAATATTTATTTAAAATTACTTTTTTTTTTGTTGTTTAAATACCAGGGATGCAGTTAAAAAACATACCGTCCCTACAGCAACATGTTGGATTTTTCCATCCTGAATTTTGATTTCAAATTTTCTTATCATGTTCCCTTGTTCCAACTTCCATATTGGGTAAGATTCATAGTTCTGTAAATCCTTCTTTTCAATCACATACATGCCCACCTGAGAATATGAAAATCAGTTAGCTATTTTATGGACATTTTCTATTTATATACACAGTACTTTTGTTACAGAAATAAAAAAAAAAAATGAAACAGAACTAAAGCTATCTGGTGAATAAGCAATATGAATTGTTCACTTCTCTGTCATTCTTTTTAAGTGTCCTACCCAGCGTAGTCTGCCCCTTTTTTGTTTCTGCTACTAGCGTGAGATCTTGAAAAAAGACTACAATTCCTGGTTGGTTCATATTCACCATCCATATTCATTCTTTGTTGGTCCATAAATTTTCCGGAGAAATTTTCTTTCCCATGTGTTTAATAAGTTTTCTGCCATTTTTGTTAGGGTCCAAATTTCACTTGCTTACGTTACAACTGGTCTAATGACAGTTTTATAAATTGTTTTCTTGTTATATTTTTACTTTTGAGTATAATCTGACTACTGAAGTATGCCCTGTTTCCAGTCGATATTCAATAATTTATTTCTGTTAGTATTTTGTTTGCTTTCATTTAATACAGATCCTAGGTATTTGAATTGATTTACTTTTCCAACAGCCTGGGTTCTAATTTTAATGGCTTCATCCACCTGTTCTTCTCTTATCGTAATGATGTATTTTTTTTTGGTTGTTGACTTTCAGCCCTGCTTGTAGTGCTGCATCTTCTAATTCAATAAAGGCTTTTGTTATGTCTTTACTATTTTTCCCCTAACAGTGCTATGTCATCAGCATATGCAAGTACTGAAGGGGTTGATTGTAGAGAGTGCCCATTGGCTGTGGGTCTTGGGTTTCCTTAGAGTATCCAGTTTTTTTTTTTCTTCGGGTGTCAATATGTATGCTTCTTATAACTCTAATGTGAGTAGTGATTTAAAATGATAAATCAATTTACCTTGAACTCACTGTCTACAACAGCTGTTTCAGTCACAGCAGATGGGCTGCCTGCTTTATGAGGGTGAACCATCATGGGGGTGCCCGCCACAGATGTGTATGCAGGTGGTAGGCCAGAGTGGGAAGCACGATGGGTAGATGACTTTGATGACTTCGTGCTAGCCATTCGCATACGTGGACGCCTGCAATGAAGAAAATACAAACCAAAAAAAATATTTCTAACTTAACACTTTTGGGTTGAGAAAAAATAATGACAAAAATAAACTCACCTGGTCTTCTTCCTTTTCTCATCAAATTCATGACCTTGCTTCAAATCCTAGTAATAAACAAAAATTGAACAGATTTAAACATCTGAATAAACATTTGCCTAATCTATTGCTTTAAACCACAGCTGTTGAAATTACAAAATTATCTGCATCCATTTAGTAAGGCTAATGAGAGGACACCAGCTGTGACTTGATAGGCCTATGAATTTCTTTTGTCTTAATGATTGGAATTAAATATATTAAGGACATGCAGTTTCTGCAATTTACCTTGAACCCCCTCAGAGGTTAGTTTATTTCAAATATACAGGTGATTATATTGTTTTAAAAACATAACTTTTAGAATAATATGGGTTTTATTTTCTTAGGAAAATTATGAAAAAGAAAGACACAGCAGTTTCATTAAATAAATTCATTATTGGGAACAAGTTGTGATATTATTTAAATTGAAAGTTATTGAGACCAAGTTTCTCAAAATGAGAAATACGATTGGACAAAAATGTTAATAAAAACCCCATTTTCTATAAAGCATTTTTTTTGTTTGTTCAAATGTCTGAATACAAGTTAACTCTTTTGACAACACTATCCTTACTACTTCAAATGGCATCCAAATTGGATCTTTGTCAGAGTCATAATTCTTATCAGAATCATCACTCTTGAATCCTCCTTTACTCTTGAAAGGCACTATTTCTTCCTCTGTACTGCTTTCAGTACCCGGGGGCTGCTCTGCAACAATAGAGTCAAAGACTAAAACAATTAAATGCTATAATTGTAAATAGAAGTGCTGGTGAGGGCAAGAAAAACAGAACAAGTGTTTTGTTAAAATACTAGCATGAAATTGGAGACAATTTCTTTACTTGATAAACTTAAGAGATGTCTATGGAATCTTGAAATGCTATAAATTAATAACCTTATTTGAAATAGATTATAAATTCATGACTTGGATAAAGACTATAAGATACTTTCCACACGACACCTAATTTTTATGAAGGAACTTGACTATGGTAAGTGCCATGACATGCCAATAAGTGGGACATTGTTTAAGTTTGTTATTTAATTTGAAAGAGAAATAAGGATGGGCTCAAGATGAATATTTACTGTCTATAAATTGAGAAATATCTTTTCTGAAACATGTTATTTAAACACAGATGCCAAGTTCTGCCTTCAACTGGTTCTTTAAAATAATTAATTCAAGACCACACTCCAGACTTACTATGTTTTTTAGTCTTTTCTATACATTTCTCCTTAGCTTTTCTTCCTATGGATGTCCTAACAGGTGGTGGGGTTGGTTCTCGTACTTCCAATGGTTGCCTTTGAGATGTGTCATCTTCTGAACCATTGCCTGGCCACAGATCTGCACCTTCTGGCTCTCTGTGCTTACTTTTTCTTCTCTTACGCTTCAACATTCCCTCCCTGTTTCTTCGCATGCTGTCTTTCAGTAGTGAGGACTCGGCAAATGGCCCAAATCTACTTCTTTTCTTACTCTTTGGCAGTGTTATTTTGACGGCCAGCTCACTTGTCCTTTGAACTGAATAGCCTTCTTTATCACTCTCACTTTTATGAGAGGAATCATTATCACTATAGTCTCTCATTTTGCCACTCATTCCATCATCTGTGTCAGAGTAGTTCAAGTTCTCTTTAGGTGCAGGGGTGGGCTTAGGCCGCCTTGGTTCTGGGATGTACTTGGGCAGCTGAGGTTTTTTAGTTACAGCTGATGAGGAAACACTTGAAAGAGTTTCCTGTTTATGACCCTGAAGATAGTTCAAAAATGAGTCCTGGAAAGAATCTTTTGAGGGGGGTTTAGGGGCTGAATCATCTAGAGTTTCTTTCTTTATCATGATCACAGATAGAAATGTGCCTGGCTGACTGAAGTGGCTTAGCTCATCATCGTCAGTGACATGTGGCACAAATGTCAGGCTCATTTTTTCAGACTCTGGTGTGCCTTGTGAGTGATGGTCGTTTTGTTGATGCATGCCCAGAGCTCCATCATGATCCAAGTCTCTCTGATTGTCAAAGAAAGCGTTGAACGACACTTCCTCCATTGCAAGAGAATTCCCAATGGCTATAGGCCGAATTTCATGGACAGCTTCCCCGTGGTAGGTAGGTCTAAAGCTGCTATCATTACTGGAGTCATGCTGCTGTTGTTGCATTCTGGCACTCTCGGCAGGTGTGACCAGTGTTGTAAAAACTACTTCACCATTTTCTCCAGTTGAATGACCATAGCTGGTCGAGGGGACCGCCATGGATGTTGGCGAACCTACCAACTGTTCTAGAAATGGTGGTCCAGAGAAGTCCAGATGGAACTGACTTGGATCTTGCGTATCTATTAACCCAGGTGGGTGCCCCTGGTCATAGCCATGAGACAAACCAGATGGCTCAACGCTAACAGGCCGAGAGTCCATAGGTGAATGAGAAATGCTGATGGACTGAGAACCAATCATGCCAGAACCCATCATATGGCCAGAGCTGCCCATCTTACTATTGTTATAATTGCCATTGTCGTTTCCTTGAGGAGACGGCTGCCCAAGAGGAGACATCTGACTAGACAGTTTCTGGTGGGGAGATTGATCTGCAAAGCTTTGCATTCTGCTCAAACTTGAACGGCTGTCTTGCATAGGTGATCCTCTCTGCTGCCCACTGCCAGTCATCATGCCAGGGTGCCCACCAAAGCTCTGCATGTGCTGTTGGTTTTCTGGAATGTTTGATCTGTAGACCTGATTGCTAGAACAGGTGTTGCTTTTAGGACTGGCCTCTAATGACTTTCTTTGCTGTTGATGTTTGTAACTGGACGAGGATGATTTGTCGTTAACAACTCTGGTAGGCAAAACAAATTCATTCTGAGACCTCATCAAATTTTGATTAGGTGTCACGGACATCTTGGGGCTTGGAGCAGGAGGGTATCCGTGATTCTGATGATCCTGAAGAGAATAGTTCTGAGGCATCGAAGGAGTTTGAGCACGCTGGGCATCCCTCGAGGTATATTGGTTGCCTGCCGAATTCCTGTAGATCTGCTGCTGCTGCATCTGGTTGCCTTGGTTTCCGTGGGACCCCAAGGACAGAGTGGAAATGTGAGGAGAGGTAGGAGGCATGTTGAGAATATGGGATGAGTGATGGGACATTTGGGTTGGAGCTTGTGTACTGGATTTCTTAATGATGTCATTCACTGGACTGCCAGCTTGTGGTGGGTTGGTCTCTTTCTTCTTTCTATTTCTAGACCTCTTTGGTTTGGTAGTGGAGTCAGCAAGTGCTTGTATGGGGATAGGAGCAGGAGATTGCTGCATAGAAGACGTCGTCATTGAGTTGTGCTGGGAGACCTGGCCGAGGGTAGCCGGGTGGTTGATGTTCATGGTGGCCCCCTGGTTCTGTGATATACTCATACTCTGCCCCATCATCAGTCCTGGTTGGTACTGGTTACTACGTTGGTTCATCTGCATTGACAGTAAGTGCAAGTTTGACATGTCTTTGGGAATTTTCAAAGTGCCCCCCATATCTTGGCGTTGTCCTGAGTGTGGTGAGGACAACATGTCCTGATGCTGCTGTTGAACTCTACTCGAGTCCATCTTGAGACGGAAATCGTTCTCCTGGAATTTGTCTGCTAATGTGTGAGCATGCTCAGATGTCAGATTAGCAAGATCAGGAAACTGGACCATCGAGAAAGAAGTATGTTCTTGGTTCACCTGAGAGTTCTCACTTATTGGGGCAGCTGGGCTCACAGCTTCATAACTGATGTCTCCCGACAACTGTGCTGAAAAATCTTGAGAGTCACTAACTGAAAGATTTGCATATGAACCATAGATCTGGTTTTGTGAATTTGAAGACAAATCTTCTATATCACTCTGGGATGAATAAGACTGCTGTATATGGACAGGTGTCTGTCTGTGAAGAGACTGCTGTTGACTGTTGGCCAAACTTTGTTTGCCAAGACTATTGGAGCTGTAAAGAGAGATGGGAGCCAAACTAGATGGGATCAGTGATTCTTGACTTCTCCCATAGATGAGATCTGTGGAGTGAGGGTTTCTCTGCAATAGTCTGGTAGTATTTGAACTGTGGGCGGGTGGGGGATCATGCATTTGTAGTTGGTTGGCTTTAGAGATGTTACCTCCGCTACCAGGACTTGGTGATGATGACAACGATGCCATGGTTGGTCCTGATACATCAGACAATATTGAACCAAACTGATTGTACAAACTTGTTGATGAACCCCACATTCTTGCTGCTTCTAACAGCTGATTTCTAGTCATTGCATCAGTCCTTAAACTTTTAGAGCCATCAAAACGACCAAACGTTGGAGACTGTTGTTCAGCTGTCACGCGCACTTGGGGGTCAAAGACCAACTGACCCTGACCCAAGGACATGGCCTTGTGACTTTGCTGGGCTGTTATTCCAGATGTTAGCTGAACAGTGTCAAGGAGAGGCATACTTAATCCATAGTTGACAGATGGTATGGTGGTCATGGACCCTCTACTCAGGGAACCATGGGAGGCCTGCAATGAATGACCTAGGCCAAGACCTAGAAAAAGAGAAAATAATATGAAAACAATTACTACTAAGCACATTGATAATAAATTATTTTACATAGTCAATATGGCTTACACATACATTTACACAATGAAGAAGACCAAAACCTTCGATGTCTACTCTTTGCAGCTTTTGAACATATTTTAAATATAGATTTAAAAATACTGAATATATTTATCATTTCAGATATGAAATAGTAGAATAACTTTAATTTGCCCTCTGCCTGCTAATTCAAGAGCTAATTTCAACTGGGCAATAACATTTCTTCATTTTACCAGGGGTAAGGTCAAGTCGGTTAAGTGAAGAATGTGTAGGAGGCAGACCACCTGATGTTGAGTGTCCATACTGAAGATTGTAGGTATTCCAGGGATTGGGATCCATTTTCCAGTTCAAATGTTAATCGAGTTGTTTTATTCAATTATTTGTTGAAAACATCCATCCTGAAAAAATATAAAATTAATATGATGATAAAATGATTAACACATCATACTTGTGTAAAAATATAAAAATAAATATCCTGAATTCAGAAAAACTCTTTAAAAAAAATCACAATCATTTATTTCTCATTATCAACACCATTTTCCCAAATATGTTGTCAAAAAATGCAAAACAAAGATTAAGAAAGATAACATTTATTATAGAATTTATCAGCAAAACAATTATACCCCAAAACATACTTTAAAACTTAAAAATTGCATAAGCATTATAACTGACATGAACACCACTCTGATAATTAATCATAAAAGTTAATCAAGCTTATATTTAAACAATATCTCCCCCCCCCCCCTCCCCCACTCGTGTTGAGGAAAAACTATTGTTATGAACCGGAAGGGTACACTCTAGAAAAATGTTTATGGCTTTTTCCTAAAAAATCTGTTGTCTGTAGACATATAATTTTTGGAGAGTGCCTAAACTAAGAAGTGTTAGCAGCACATTGGAAATTCGCGGAAACATATAATAGAAACTTTTACAGCATTTGAATAATGATGATAAAGTATCGCAGGAGTGAGTCTCTTTCATTATTTTAAAAACTGAATTAATTTAAAAAAATCGTACTTTCCCTGAAGAAAGTATGACACCGTGGTCCTAATTAAAAGCAGCAAGATATTCTAGGAAAACACATTTCTAGGACTCGCTTGTATCCTCTTCTAGCTTGTTAAATAAATAGTGGACAGAAGATTATACCCTGTTGTAGAAAATTTGATCTGCATTTGTTAGACTTTCTTTAAATAAATAAATGACATGCGAGGCCAGTACAGCATAACATATCTGTTTTTAAAGACCCCAGCCAATCATAGATTTTAATGACACAACATTTAGATTACTTTTATAGTTCACTAATCTTTCAAAAAACTTAAGGCGTTATAAAAAGAGTTATATTCACTCCAGGATGTACCAAATCTAGTGCAAATGATAAATTGTATTATTTATTTCCAGTTGGTACCCCCATGCCTCTCTCTTACTGTTTGGGGTGAGTTTACATGGCTCTAAAATTGAAGGCTTTCACTTACATTAGGAAATACAAACAAAAGCGAGAGATCGCAGTACCTGTTCTATTTATAGCGAACCTGCTCTCGCTGAATACTGAATAGGCTTAAGTGCGTTCGTACACATTGATTTTTTTTAAACACCCAGAATCCATATTTTAATAAATTGAACTGGGTCAGGGAGTGAGAGAAAATAAAAACTCGCGAATCTGGAGCTGAAAAATATTTAGCCTTACGAATCCGGAATTCTGGGATAATCCGGGAAAGTGGCACCCCTGTCTCCATGTAAACTTTCAGCTAAAGTTCTCTATTCAAAATATTTTTCAATATTTAGCTATGTATTTATTTGATTTTAATACATTTTTTGTCTATTCATTTTTTATTTTTGTCTTGAAAGAGGGGGGAGGGAGTCTCCCCTATACTAGAAAACTATTTGTGTTATTTATTTTTGTATTGAAAGTGGGGAGAGGGGTTCCCTGACTCAAAAAATTATGTTGAAATGTACTATGAAATGGCGACATGATATATACGAATGGCATACAGGTATTTCTTTTTCCAACCAATCAAAAAGACAGTACTTTTAGCAATCTGTGAGTCTTTTTCACTGGTGGCAGTTTTAGAGTATCAGCAAGAATGAATTAAAAGAAAATTTCTTATGAACTTATATAAGTTGAATTTTAATAAAAAAGAACTGAAAATTTCATTTTAATATAACTTTATCAATTGCCAGATTTAGTTTAATGACGCGAATAATGCTCTTTGAAGAACATGAAAATTGTCATTCAAATCGTTCAGGTCAAATTATTGGTCTCATCTCTCCAAGTCAAATGTTGGGTTTCCCCTTAATCTACCTTAGTCTGTCACTGCACTTAATAGGTTGGGACAATTCTTGGCAAAACTTCCTATCTTTACCTAGCTTAGTCCCTTGACTAGGTTAGGGCCTAGGACTACTTAAACTCCATATATCACTAGTAGGCTGCATAGGGTAGTTCTTTATGATATGGTTTAGATGCCCATAACCAATGTCATAGATTAGACACTGGGCACAGAATGTAAACTGGGTACCCGTACCATGATTACGTTTATTAAGGGCCTAACTAGTTAGTGTGAATTATCTGAGGAACTATAATTAATATTGATGCCATATAATATAAATAATTATAACTATAGTCTGTGTTTGCTCTTTGACTGACTAATTGTGATAGATGGTCTAACCAAAGTGACAGTGACATTCAGCTGAGGGGTAAGTACTACACACTATGATTATATAATAAGTGAAAAAAAAAAAATTGCAGTTCAGGTGTGTTTAGTATAGAATATTATTTCGGAAAAAGTTATTTTTGCATGTAAACTTCCATGTGTTCTTTATTAAATTAACTCCAGGCAGTAATAGTTAACTAACAATTGTACTGCCCCAACTTTTCTTTTATCTGAATTTTGATTTCTAGTATCAAAATCCCCGATCATGCCCAATGGCATATAGCCCTCAAATGATCTCTTCATTTGTTATTTCACCCATAGGTTGGCAATATGTCTAAATGAACTGATTACTGAAGAGAACTCAAGATTTTTATGTGAGTAATGAGGTACTGAACTGTGATTGCAGAACTTCTCAAGAAGTGAAAAAGCGACGTGACCGTCACTTCTCAAAAAAGGAAAACAATTTCTTCTACATACATCAACCCTTGTATAAGCATTACGCTTATAAAGTTTATCAAATAATTTCTTAGGGTATACAGATCCCCTTAGATATACGAATAGTAACTTAAATGTTGAATTAAAGATTATTAAGAAGCTAACATAAAACTTCATCTCCAACATCGTAAACATCAACTTTCTCTACCGCCATCTTGTTGATTCAATGCGTCCCATAATGCACTGGGTATTCCAAATCCAAACAAGATGGCGTCAAGATTGGAGCGTGATAATACTGCATTAGCACTGTTTAAATGACAGTCTTTTGCAAATTTGTGTTGTGAAACGACATTCAAGTCATTTTTAATTATATGATCAAATTAAATTTTAAATTTGCAAATCATTCATATTTTGCAATTGCTTTTTTTTTGTTATAAAAGGGATATAAACATAAAGCTATCGTTGAGTGGTCAAGGCCGCAAGTAAGAAAGTCCGAAGTTAACTGGACAACTATTTGCGAGTGCGGAGGTACCAGTCCTAAAGCAGCGCAAAAATGGACGGTACCGACGCATTTAACGCAACCGATAGTAACTCTGAATTAGATTTGGAAATGAAGGAGCGCCTAAAAGGTAAATATAATTAAAATAATATGAAAAAGAAAAAAAAAAAGCTTAAGAAAGGTGTAGCCACTGTAGCTGTGACCACAGTGAGTACCACCTAGCTTTGCTTAGACGTCTTTAAAGTACGTCCCTCTCCGACTTGCTGGTGTCCTAAATCCGGCTTGCCTGGCTGCCATACAGATACCCAGGTAATAAAGTTGTGAACGGGTACTCAAACTGCAACTTGCTAACATCTGAAATTTCCAACCAGATCCATACTAATTTATGCAAACTTTTAACCATAAGTTGCATTTTGCATGAGGAGTGAGGAGCGATAACCGGGTGACACAACTGTCACTGTGGGGAAGGTTGGCACCAAATGGAAACTAAATTTAAAAGAGCTCTATAAAGTTGCTTCATAAGTTAAATATAAGAGCAGAGTTCCATACGAATCGAGTGACACTTGACCTGAGTAGTTGTAGGGTACTAATACTAACAGTGAACAGAAAAGGGTACCACCAGAGCAGGCTGCAGGTGCCACTGGACAAAGAAGATTTGTAGGAGGGCAATGGGGAATCCTGGAGGAGGTGACATAATGAGTTTGCCACACTTTTTTTACACCCACCCTAATGATGCATCTGGAGAAAGCAGATTCTGAGAAGGTCCATGGAGAAGTCTGAAGGAGGTGACACCATGAATTTACTGCACTTTGTTACACCAACCCTAGTGATGCTAAAAACTCTAGATGTATTATTTCCAGAAGAAGAAGTTTTCATAAAAATCAACAGGCTTTTGATATAATTTTATTTGTCTTTTTAGCCCTAATTACCCCCATGATTTTCATTTTTATCCCACTTGGGGTATTTACCCTGGTTCACTGACCCCTGATTAAACAATAATATAGAGCAATTTATAGCCTAATTTTTCTCTTTTTCCCTCCTTAAATAAAAGAGAGTATTGAATATAATCGAGTTATAATGCCCATTTAACTGATTTCGTTAGTATGGTGTTTCTCAACCTTTTCTATATGCTGCACCTCATACATTAGGAAATGGGGCAGTCGAGCCAAAGCTCTAATTTCCCTCCCTAAGCCAGAGTATGGGGCTGTGAAGCGGCACTTTGGAAATCTCCCTTGCCCAGACAAACCCCACCAGCATCCACTCGATCAGGTACCAGTGGAGGCCACCTTAGCCCTAGGACATCTGGTTGGCCAGTGACACTGCTCTCACAGCGTCACCAGTCGACTTTCCCCAGGGGGTCGGGATGGTATATTTACATACATACCGGGAAGCGTCAGACACCCTCTAATAGGGATTTCTACAGTGGGTTTCTACCTCACAACTAATTTACGAAGCATCTGGGACACAACGGTTGCCTATGAACAGCTTCCTCAATGCTGTGTAAATAGAATCATCGGCATGATGTTACCACCACCCACCCCATGTCTCATATCCATTAACTGCAACATGTAATCATGATCCCTACCCCATTTCTGCCTTTTATTTCCAACTGCAGATTTTCCTGAGTCGTTAGCCCTGTAGATGCTACCATTTATGGCAGATGCCATGCATGGCCTTTGTCTGCCCACATAGGCACATCAATGGTAACACAGAGGGGGGTCTGTGGCAGCGCCTCTTTAGTCAGCAAGCCACTTGTCAACCAGAGCACCCCCTACAAAGAATTTGACTAGTCTCTCATCCCCTTAAAAAATAACAATGCGTTAAAATATGAAACTAATGGACTTCTAATTTATTTACTGCAAAGATTATTGTAGAGCTTAGAAAATAATCTTGTACCTTATTACATAAAGGAAAATGTTAATGTAGAAATGTTTAAAAAAATATATTAACATATATATCATAACTTAAAATCTAATGTGTCCTCTGTTCTTTTAACCCATTTTCCTTGCAAACCCTGGGGTGGCTGGCACCCCAGGTTGGAAAACCCGGCTTTAGTAGTGGAGAAACCACTAATATAAAATTCATTATGATAACCCTGAATTACCGTAGGCTTCCATTAAAATAGGTGTATGTTTAATTAAATAGGGTGTTCAGTTAAAAAAATACATCCATATGCTCTGGGAATAAGGACTGTCTGAATTTCATGATTATTATAGAATAAATGAATTTACACATTCTGATTATGCCAAAGATCTTAAATCAACAACTCACTTTTCAGAGCCTCATAATGTTTGGATTTCCCCTTATAGTGCACCAATAATTTTTCCTATAAGCTATTTTATATCCATTGCAACTCATTAGCAATAATATTTGACAGAAAAATATTATTTTTATTTACAGAAGTTCACACTTGGTGGGAAGTGCCAGCAATAGCTCATTTCTGTTCTCTTTTCAAAGCAGTATTTGGCTTCAGTGACTTTGATATTGAGGTATATTTGTGTAAAAGTATCTGTCTAGGATTGATATATTTTCCATTCAAGATTGTATAACAATTCATCCCTTATCAAGCAAGATTCTCTTGCAACATTAAAAAAATATAACTGGAAATGTTATATTTTGTTTTTTAATCCGCCTTGTGTTTTTTTCCCTTCTTTTTAATGGTGGTTTGACTTAAATAAATTTTGTCCTCAGGATTTAGAGGAGGCTCTTCTGACATCACCAGCCCTTGGTGGAAGTACACTTGTTGTTGATATCATATGTCAGCTGTTAAATGGTTGCTATGCCAGAGATGACATTAAGTAGGTTGAGCTACTTTTGTTCTATTTTTGTTTATGTAACTACCATTTTCATATATTATTATATATATGTATAAGTGCTCGTTTAATGTGAGGCATGGCTTTTAAAATTTTATTTAATGTTTAAATGATCTTCACTTGCTTTTATGCATTTACATTTATTTGAGGCCTTCTGTTTTCAGATATTTCAATTATGACCTGTTTTTAAAAGACATCTTCAAACAGAGATGGCAACAAGAACTTGGCCGTGTTAATCCTCTCTCAGATACTACTTTCCTAGATTTGCCTGTACGTCAGAGAGTTGAAATCTTACATGCTCTTTGTGACTTTAGACTTGATGCTGATGATGTTGCTGAAATGCTTAAGGTGAACATTCAAGTTCTGTCTGTTTTACTTTCTATTCAGTCAACTTTCTCTGTTCATGGATAATTTTTAAGTATTCCACTGTGTATTTGGATCCCTATCTGCCCTAGAGATATTGTTTGTCAAATCTCTCTGACTTACCCTCAATTAGAAATGATATGGTTGTCATATAAAATTGATTCTACGAAGTTAAAGACATTTTATGATTATTGCAATCTATTAACAAATTTTTCAATGATAGGTCATTTGCAAGTTTTTTATTTGTATGCGATTAAATATACAGTTTTATTTATTCTGCAGAAAAAAATTAATCTAATTTAATTATCCATGTAATAATCTGATTCAAATTTTTCGGATCATTAAAAATCTAATAAATAAAGCCATTTATCAAATTTAATCATATAGATTTATGTTAAGATAATCAGCCATGTATGTGTTTTCATACATGTAGAATCTACATTCACAATAAATGCAGATTTTCTCATGGATTCATTCATCCATCAGCTATCTTAGACTGACTTTTACAGTGGTAACAAGGTTAGAGCTGAGAACCCTGTATTGAGAGTGCTGAGACTCTTTGGGGAAATTTTCTTTAGTTAAAAATTCATACAGCCCCTGAGGGTGCAGTTTAAACTAAGTCATATGATACTAGTTACAGGGGCTGTAATACTTGTCTCATTATCCTACGATTTTATGATTTCATATGAAAATAATTATAACTCTATTTCCATGCTTTTGTTCTATATTTTTTTTTTGATTAAGTCAAATCAAATGAAATTATTGTGCTTTACTATTATATTCATTTCTATTATATTTTTACAAATCTATTTTTGGTTAGCATGTCTTTTGCAAACCTGTTGACAGTCTTAATTATAATTTAAGTCTCTAATGCTCTTTAAATGGGACGAAAACCAGAGCTTAAGGAAATGTCTATTTTATAACCCCATAATTTAGAATTTGATTCTTATTGTATCTTCTTTAGGTTTTCATCAGCGAAATTTACTTAAATTTTTTAGACATATGCCAGTACATTTAAATAGTTAAGTGAAAATCAAGGTTGTTATAAAAAATAATAATCAAAATATTTATTCCTTTTTTGTTATAAAATGATTGATATACTTAACTCTTATAATAAATTTCTTTATCAAGGGTCTAAGTGGGGATAGCTTACGTGTGGAGCCACTGGGTGTTGATGGTAAAGGGGCAAAGTACTGGTACTTTTATGGAACCCGGTTGTACAAAGAATTGCTGGATAATGAGGAAATTGAACATATGTAAGTTTTCTTCATAGTTTTGTACATATATATTTTATGATTATTTTTATCTGCAGAAGGTTGCCTGTCCATTCACCCAACCCAAAATCTTTATTAAAAACTTAACTTTAAAAAAACACCATAAATTTAGCTGAGACATTGGATTTTCAGTTTTGAGAATGGTCATACTTCATAAAAAGTAATACATTATAAGATAAGATTCTTTTATTGATCCAAACAAATGGAAATGTTTTATGATTGCATTGTACATTTTCAACACATATAAAAAAACAATTTGAACACAAGACATTTGTAATAAATTTTTTCACTAGCAGCCATTCTGTGAGTTCTCTTAGCCATATCAGGGACTTATTAGTTCTCATTAAGATTTGTGACTTCAGGTGGAGCATGCTGGTAAATTCGTACAGATTGGGGAACAAAAGAATTTTTATACCTTTCAATCCTCGCCCAGATGGAAAGAATTTGTCCCGAACGGGCCGATCCTAAGTATCTGTGATGAATAGGGTGGGATGCATCTTTCAAAATGTGTTTAGTTTTACAATAACATCTTTCTTCAAATAGTTCTTCCAGTAAAGGATGTTATGTGTTATGTTCCTAGGTTTCTTGATTAGTCGGTTTATGCGGTGTTTAATATCAGACGTTGAATTCCCACACCAGCGGGCAATACTGAAATTAAGTAGGCTTCCAATTGTTGCACTGTAGAATAAGTTAACGACTTGTTTGTTTACACCGAAATTGTACAGTTTTTGAGATAGAACAGTCTTTGGTTGAATTTCTTATACAGCATTTGGCTCATGCCATATTAGCTTATTATTAATGGTGACACCTAAGTACTTATATGCCTCTACTTTCACTACACTTAGATTTTTTATGCTGAGATCTGTAATCTGGTTTTTCCCCCTCCTGAAATCAACAACCATTTCCTTTGTTTTTGAGACATTTAGCTGGAGAAAATTTTCATTGTACCAATTGATAAATTAAGTTGCGGTGTAAGCCTTCTCCTTCAGAAATTAAGCCAGCGATGGTGGTATCATTAGGGAATTTTTTAGATTGGAACAGTGTCACTTGAGCTTTGAATATCATGTAGGGCAAACAAGATGATGACAACCACCCAGGCAAACCCTCCCTTCCCTTGCCTGCCCATCGTTGGTCTCGAGACATGCGCACTGCGGTGGAGCTACCACCCCCCCCCCTCTGCACCACCCTTGCTTGCCAGCCATGCACACACCCCAACAAGCTCGCAGCGTATGGTAAGCCGCGGGTCGGCTATATTTATGGGCGTGAAATAAAAAGTTTGCAGTGACGTATCATGAAAAGGGGGGGAATGGGTGTAGCAAAATTGGCATTCTTAAATGTGTGTAACTTGAGTTCACGTTTTTGTCAAGTAACTTTAGTAGATGGGAAGTTCACGCATTGCTGTCGCCAATTTTTGGCGGGCTATATCTAGTTGGTATATATTGTATACATTATGGGGAAAAGAACACAGCCTTGTGGCGCCCCGGTGCGTATTTCTCTGGTTAGAGATAATTGGTCATTTACCTTAACATATTGTGGTCGATTTGTTAAAAAGTTCAGTATGTAAGCCTGAATATTAAAATTTACACCTAATGAGGAAAGTTTCTTTATCATAAGGTGTGGTTGGATAGTGTTAAATGCTGAGAAGTCTAAGAATAGCACTCTGGCATATTTTTTTGGACTGTCTAGGTGATGGTAAAGTCTCTCCAACAATAGTAAGATAGCATCCTCTGTACTTCTGGCAGGTTTGTAAGCAAATTGGTGGGGGTCAAGTTTTTCCTGTACTTCATTGCAAAATTTGTCTCAGAATAAGACATGGGGGCTTCTCACCCGTGATTGGTAATGATACAGTCATAAGAGAGCATGAAATTGTAGTAGTATTCAATTGTGCTAAAAGATTTTGAATTTTAACCTTTTTAATCTTACAATGTTTGATGCACATGGTTTGGCACATAAGCTTACCTTTGCAATGCATATGGTATACAAGATATTGGAATACATATAGGGGGACATGCTGTAAATCTGCAATTTAAGGCTGGGGGAATAGCTGGATTTCTTTGGTTAACTTTCTGTGTTCTTTTCGAGTTGAACTCGCACTGAGGTCACTGTTTTCGTTTTTTAATATTCCAAATTTGTTTGTTCATATTCTTTAACAAGGACAAGCAAAGGAAAAAGAAAACTGAAGCAGCAAGAAGTAGTGGATGTTAATCTAGAGCGTGAGGAAAATGACATTCTTGGTGAAGAACAGGGTGCCGACAAAACAAAAAGAAACCCAATTCTAGCTGCTGTTCCACGAATGGCTGAAAAAGATGCCATAGAGGATGAAATAGAGGATCCAGATGAGGATCTCAAAGACCAGGACATGGAGGAAAAAGTAGAAATTCCTCAACCTGAAGAAGATGAAGAGGATGAAGCTCAGAAAGAGTTGGCGTAAGTTCAATTCTCATCTTAATTCCTCATTTTAATGGTGTTTTAGACCTGTTTACTCTTGCCATTTTGGCGTACAATATAGGAATTTGAGCTGTTTTTACGATTGTAGGGAAAGACCTGTCACAACTATGATTTTAAGAGACTAGGTTGAAAATATATACATTACAGTAATTTCAATGAAAAGGTAATAATTAAAGGGTAAATTTTCGGTTGTTAGTTTCACCTGCTTTCTAGATCTAGCAGTGAATGGGCAGAGAAATACGATTGGTTGGGGATCATCTATAATTGTATTACGCAACATGATCATATACAGTCGACCCCGCTTATCTCGACCTCTTTTTACTTGCCAACCCTGTTATGTCAATGTTTTTTAAGTGGAACAGCCAAATTATCTCTTTGTCTAAGCATTTTCTCCTCGGTTATGCCAATTCTTTTATGTCACTCTGAACCCTGATATCTCGAGCACTAAAGGCGGCCAAATTTGCAACTTTACCTTGGTTATCTCGATCCCCATGACCAATCGCCGGCTTTTTAACTCCGCAAAAAGAAATAGTAAACAACAAATAAACAAGTTTTTCATAATTAAAAATAATTATTTATTTCTCAAAATACAGGACTTGTGTTTTAGAATGAACCTACAAGTAATTTAAATAAATATGTTTTAATTTGAGTTTGAAAAACCGGATAGAGTCCATATTATAAATTCCTTGCCATGTGCAAAACGTTGTCATGGGTAGCCATTCATAGTCACTTGCATAATGGCTATGCAGTGGAACTACGTCAGAGTTTCATTCATAGAGTTTGCCGTGAGCAAAAGCTATTAACCCATTGGTCAGGGAAAGCTTTAATTAAATAGTCGTGCCAAAGTTGAAAGTTCAAAATAATTAGTCCCTAAATATTATGTTAGTGATAAGGGGATGTGTTTCCTTATAAAAACTATACAGGCATTGCGCAAGACACGATCAGCAGAATGAGATCACAAAATCTGGAGGCTTCGTTCATAGTAGAAAATACCAAACGAACTCACACTTTAAACATTCTTAGCTCAAAAAGTACTAAAGTTAAAAAGTTTATTCTGATTTCGTTTTATTTAATTTGAAATTTGCTTTAAATAACTGTAATATTGAAGTACCTGCATTTATTAACAGACATCATGTACATAAAGAAATTTCAAGCATATGTTAATATTTTGCCGCCATATTGGTTTTTGTTTATCTAGATCATCGGTTATCTCGACGCTTGGCAAACCAATGCCGTTGACACAACGGGGTTCTACTGCACTTGCTTTGTGTTTTTTCATAATGAACTCACTAGACACTGCAACAGTAATATTAGTGTGGTTGCCTTAGTGACAAAATTAGCCAATCATCGCTTTTGTTTTCTTCAGTGCTGTCTGACGTAATTTTATAACATAATGATTTGGTTTGGCTGAATAGCGGTGAGTGCAGAAACAGAGAAAACTAGAGAATACATTCTCAACTGTAACTCGCAGCAACATTAGATTTCAACATATTTTATAGGATCTGAGAGGGCTGTTGAAATATATTTTTAGAACACAAAAAACCGCTGTACGATTTTCAATACCCCATTGGATACCAACACTTCTCTTCCTTTCACACATTTACAGCTTATGATATTTATCAGACAAAATAAATTAGCGGGACACTTGCTTAATGGATATCGATATATTTTTTTTTAAAACCAGCTTTTCCTAAATTATACTTTTTAAATCAATAACCAGTTTTTCCGTAATTATTAATCTCAAGTTACATTTTAGGGTTTTTAAATGATGTCATCATTTGTTAATTAATTCTCATTTTAATAAATTTTACTTTATGCTGATCTGACTTCGAGTTTGAACTACATCAAATTTCGCCAGTAACTTTATTTTGAACAGTGACAAGCAGTAATAATGGGATCTTCACGTTCACTCAATGTAATACACGTCTGGAAAACAAAGTAACGGAAGATTGCAATATAAACATCAGTCATCTACTTTTAGAAGTTACCTTTTTTGACATCTTAACTCATTCCCACTAGACAAGCAATGCGAGTAGTTATTGTATACATTAAATATACTATATGTTTATTAATTTACTACTAAGATACTGTATTGTACAATTTTGAAATAATATTGTACGATTTTAGGATTTTAAGGGTAAACAGATCTGGTGTTAAATGTTCAGTGAGAAATTTGCAATTGATTATATTTTTCTGGTCACTTATTTTATTAAAAAGGATTTCTAATAAGAGCTCTGGTAATTTTTATGACCATTGTTTCTTTATATCACCTTGTCTAATGTGGTTCTTGAAATGTGCACGCTAGTTGCTTTATTTAATTTATTACATTTCGCTTCTTAGCTTATGTTATGATGTATTGGTGTAGTGGTATCAAAATATGTATTTTCAAAAGACATTCTTTTCATCGTGGCCTTTTTCTAAAAATAAAAAATTAACATAATTAATATAATAAACCCATGTATTAAAAATGAACTGAAGAAAATAAAATATTCTTCGTGTAATTAGAATACTTTTTGTCTATAGAGAGGCTCTTCAAGAGAGTGACGATGATGTGATGGATGATGATGAGAATGATGTTGATTTTGAAGACGAATTGAAAAAGAAGAAGAAAACAGTTAAATCTCAGAAGAAGAAGAAATCAGTGCAGAAAGTAACAGAAGAAAAGCTTGATAGTGAAGGAGAAGAAATGTGAGTTTTGGTCATTGTCATTTCTACTTTCTGCCATTTTCAACATTACAAAAAAAGCCTTGGAAAATAAGAGTGTGGAAAGTGAACCTCAGGATGATTAACAAATATTAGTAACTGGATAATAATATGAATTTAGATTAGATGTAATGATTGGAGATTATTTAAACAATGACTTCTTTAAAATTCTGATTTATACAGGCCATATATTGAAAGTGTTGTCAGGACCAAGAAAAAGACAAACTATTATAAAGGTGGCAGATCCAAGTCTAGAAGCAGGAGTCGAGGTTCAAAAACCATTACCCCCGAAGCAACTGATGTTAAACAGAATAATTGGTTAGCCATGTTTTTTAGTCATGGGTCTTATGGCCGGTTCATGTTGAGAAATGCTTTTCCCTTCATTCTCACCAATAAGGAAACATGTTAAATAACAACTAACTTAGAAGAAAATTAGTTTTGATTCTGTTTTTTTTTTAGGGATAATATATTTCTGGTACATTAAAGCATGATGCCAGCTCTGTGGCTCAAAGATAACAATACCTCCCTTTAAGGACAGGAAGTAATGGGTTGTATTTTTAATAATTGGTTGGGATAAGCTGTGTCTTCCCCACTAAGTTAGCCAGATATTTCTCTTTTGTCATATTCATACATTTTTTTTTTTGTTTTGCTTGATTTGTAACTACAGTGAACAAAAGCGAAAGAGAGGGCCTAAAAAAAATCAAGAACCTGAGGCAACACCAAAACCAACTCGCAGGTCTCGTCGAAAAATGAATGATGATGAACCCCCAGAAATAATTTTCTCTCCCAACATCTCAAAACAAGAGTTAAAGCGTCTGACCATCGATGGCTTCCAGAACCAGTTCAGCACCCGTCGCAGTAACACAAGCAGAGATGGCAGTGTCAGTGGAGATGTTAAAGAAGAGTCAGGACCATCTGCAGAATCAGACCACATGAAGAACATTGAGAAAGCTGTGTCAAAACTTAATGCCAATGCCCTAAAGGATGTTTGTGATGAAACTTCTAAACTGCAGCCAATCATATCTTCTGATCTTCAGGACAATTCATTGCTATCCAAGAAAGGAAGTTCTAGGAGGAAGTCAACACCACAGAGAAGAAAGAACAAAGACGCTACCGTATTTGATGACAGTAATAAATCATCAGATTTAGTCAATGATGAACATTTAACTGAAAATGTTGAGGGTCATACACTCGAAGATGCACAAAATGGTCAGTCTTGTAATTCAGAACAGTCTATTGACCCTATGACTGAAAGCTCACCCATTCATCCTAGTGGATGTTCAGAAGTTGATGGGTCAGCATCCAAGGACAGTGCATCTATGGAAAGTGGCATTCTTTTAATAGACAAAATTGGAGTATTGTCAAACACGGATTCGGTGCTTGCTGGCAAAGATGGAAGTCCTGATGTGGAACATATTTCTAAACCTTCAGGTTGGGAGAACACAAAACTCAGTACCAAGGTAAATAATGTAACCGATTTTTGTGATACCGTAAATGATGCAGATGACGATAGTGATGACTGTGATGATGATGAAGAAGAGGAGAGAATTATTGAACTCCAGGCCACTGACTTGAAAGAAGATGATGTTGAGGAGAATGGTCAGATGGAAGATGATATAAATTTGACTGAAGGTGAATGGAGGACTCCTTTAGACTTGAGTGAAGTTATGGAGGGTGGAGGAGCTGAAGACAATTCTGTCAGCATCAGAACTGACAGAGACAAAAAATCACCTGAAGGAGATAATATTATAGGGGCCACTACAGACCCCGTCATAGATATGTCATACCTGAACAATACCGTTTCAACTTTCTCCGGCAAGTCTTTAGTGAATCCTATTGAAACTGATCTGGTTGCTTCAGAAGGCTCCGTTACAACTGGTGGAGAAGATGAAATCCTTACAGACAAAAATAAAACAGAAAGTACAGACAGAGATGTGAGTGGTTTGGCTGCTGAAGGGAGTCGTGAAGAATGTTCTGAAAAACCTTTAGCTTTAAATGAGCAGGATGCTGTAGATCCTGTTGAAGTGGGGGCATCGATTTGTAGTGTAGATATTTCTGACAAAATAGATTTTGGAGATGAAGTGGATGGTGTTGTGGGCAACCCTGGTGCATCAGCTGGCAGTTCTGACAAGGTAGAAACTAGTGGGGAGATTATCCATGTAGAAACCAGTCAAGGAGAGACAAGTCAGGAGAAAGACACAGAGTCCCCAAGTACAAAATGTAATTCAGATATTGGTCAGGAGAGAGAAACAGATTCAATAGGGTGCAGTAGCGATCTGAGTGATGATTGTAAAGTCAGTCAGGTAGAGATTACATGCCCAGTAACAGAAGGGTCTTCAGAAATCAAGAATGCAAAAGGAGCAGACGAAGAAGAGGAAGCAGCAATGAAGTTGAAAATTATGGAAAATCTTGGATTGGCTAAAAAAATTACACCACATCAGACTTTGAGTAGCAGCTCTCTAGACAACAGTATTATGGTGAGGCAGCATGAGACCAGTACTGTCCAAGTTATCAAAGTGACCCCAGTTGGCAGTGATATTCCCAGTGATGTTTCTGACCAGCCTTTGGAAGAGACCAATATATTGTCCGATGGTAAAAACATGAATAGTAATAACATTGTTGCACATTTGCCAGCGGTACCAGAGCCCATCAATAGCAACATAATAGAAGTTATTCAATTTCAAGGCTCCTTGAACAATTATGATACATTATCATCTTTAATTAATGATGAGGTTGTTGGTGGTTCTAGTGAAAATTCTAAAGAACTGTTAACCAAAGAAAACAAAGAGGAGTCTGCTGAGGAAATTGTGGGCAAAGTCATTCAAGAATTATTGGAAAATGTTGATGCAATAAGCATCAAAGGAGCAAGTGAAGATGGGCAGGAAACTGTTGAAGACAAAGGCAAAAAGAGTGATTCAATACCCATGCAGAAACGTGTCGAACAGCCCACTGCTCGTTGCAATGAGGAGATAAACAGTGATAAAGTTGATGGTAATATTGATGCTGAGACACTTACAATGCAAGAGGATGTCAAAGTTGATGTCCAAATGAATACAATGGACAATTTGTTATTGGGCCAAGGAGACAAACAAGATGACAGGCTGTCTGATGTACCCAATAGGCTTGAAACTACAACATCTTGTTCAGACGTGGAGGAAAGATCAGCAGAAGAAACAGGCTCAATAAATGTAGAACCAGGCCAGACTTTATTAGAATCAGTTCACCAGGGGTGCAATGAGGAGGACAATGTCTACATTGGGGCTGACAGCATTGAGTATAGCGAAATTTTCTCATCTGCCACATCAGGTGAAAATGTGGAACAAGATATGATTGCAGGTGAAACAGACATGGACACAGATGCTGACCAATACGAGACTGCTGAAAATAGAATCTTACAAGAAAAGATGGCTTGTGCGGTTGAGGCACCAGAGTTATTCAATAATGAAATGCTTTCACAGGAGGAATATTCAGTTCATGATACTAGGACTCAAAGAGAAGAGATTGATCTTTGTTCATCTGCATCTGTACATTTGATCCCAGAAGACTTGCCATATGCAGATGCTTCACTGTCTGATGATAAAGCTGTTCAGCAGCCCCCTGACAATACCCTGCCTGTTGCTGAAGCTGCTGAGAAAATCTCAGATACAATTTTGTGTTCAAATGATGATATTCCATTAACCCTTGATTCTGTTCTGCCTAATGATTTGGCTGAGCAGACATCTGAATCTATTTTGTCTGTGAATGAATCTTCTGAACAGCCCCAGGACTTGGTCATAATGCATGAATCTGTACAGCAGGAACTGGAATCAACACTGACATCTGTATCATTTCAGTCTGGCAGTGATGTCACATTGGCAGGCTCCATCTCCATCACTAGTGAATCTGATCTACTGGAGTCTAGCAGTAAAATTGAGAGCATTAAACAAGTATCTGACTCTACTTTGGTGAGCACCGAGTCCATCCAACAGGCATCTGACTCTACTTTGATGAACACTGAATCCATCCAACAGGCATCTGACTCTGCTTTTATAAGCACTGAGTCCATCCAACAGTCATCTGACTCTACTTTGATGAGCACTGAATCCATCCAACAGGCATCTGACTCTACTTTGATAAGTACTGAGTCCATCCAACAGGCACCTGACTGTACTTTGATGAGCACTGAGTCCACCCAACAGCCACCTGACTCTACTTTGATGAGCACTGAGTCCACCCAACAGCCATCTGACTCTACTTTGATGAGCACTGAGTCCACCCAACAGCCATCTGACTCTACTTTGATAAGCACTGAGTCCATCCAACAGGCATCTGACTCTACTTTGATAAGCACTGAGTCCATCCAACAGGCATCTGACTCTACTTTGATAAGCACTGACTCTATCCAACAGGCACCTGACTCTACTTTGATAAGCACTGAGTCCATCCAACAGGCATCTGACTCTACTTTGATAAGCACTGACTCTATTCAACAGGTAACTGAGTTAGTTTTGATGAGCACTAACTCTGCTCAACAGGCATTAGACTCTAAATTCGCTTATGATGACCCTATTCAGCTGGCAGAGTTTTCCTCAGATATCACTGACTCAGTTCAGCATGCACCGGGCTCTACTTTGAAAACCAGTGATTCTAATGATCACACATCAGACTTAGCATCAGTCACGGAATCTGCCACGCCGGCCAATGATGCTGTCTTATCACCCGTTGAACCCATTAATCCTAATGCCCCACGTTTACATTCCAACATGTCTGACATTGACAAAGATGGAGAGATGAAAGATGTTGACAAAGATGGAGAGATGAAAGACATTGACAAAGATGGAGAGATGAAAGACATTGACAAAGATGGAGAGATGAAAAGTCAGACTGACCCACAGTCATTGGTTGAGGGTTGTGATGCCACCACAGAAGAGAGAACAACCGAGACAACAGATTCTCATGTGGATGGATTTATCCCAATAGGAGATTTGATTTTGTCTTCGATTTCTGACACAGTTGGAAATCAGTCTCAGACAAGCCTTGATGTTGAGAGGTCAGAGAATGAAACCTCAGAATCATTAAATGATATGCTTGAGTTAACTACCAATGCCATGTCGTGTCCAGACAGTGCTGGCATGGCACATACTTTTGAAGAACCTATTATAGACATAACCTTTTTAAACCAAGATACGGTTGTTGAAAAAGAAAGTGATGCCATGGAAACATCATTGATGAATCCTGATGAGGTGTCTGAAGAAAAAATTCTAGAGGCTGGGGTGAAGACTGAGGCTTTCATGGAAGTAAAAGAAGAGGTAAAAAATGAAGACAAAACTGATGTACCTCTTGAAGAGACAGCTGAAGGTGAGTATGAGAAAAAAGTCAAGGATGATTATCCAGTCAAGCATATGCCCCTGTATTCAGATGAGAAACCTATGAGAGGGGGGCTGAGCCGTTGGCAATTGGTATGTGATAGTGTGGAAGACTGGGCCAACCTAACGGAGCAGTTCAAGAACACCACCATTAACAAAGAGAAAATGCTTTACAAGATCATCAAGAATGACTTTTTGCCGGAGATTCCAACCATAATGGAAGACAAGGTTAGACAACAAGAAAATTAGCTTAAATAATTTTGAAATGTGTGCATTTGTTGTTGTTTTATGGGTGACTTTGTACAAGTTTAGAATAATTGCCAGATTACTTTACATTGTGTTGCAATATTATTTAATTAATTATGTGACTGCTTTTCTCATTGAATATGACATAAGGGCAGTGCTAAAAGATTTTTTTCACTAACATTAATTTCCAGGAAAGGGCCAGGGAGAAGAGAGCTAGAGAAATGTTGCCCAGGAGATCCTCCTACAGGCTTGAATTGAAGAAGATGGAGGATGAAGAGAAGGTAAGATTATTTCGTAGTCTTATATTCTAAAATAAATAACATTTATCAAGGGAGATGTTGTACATTCTTTGTGTATTTTTCTATAGATTTTGTATTTTGTGTTAAATGCCTTTCACCTCAAGGAAGAGAGTTTAATACTATAATTTTAATCAATGATTAAAGGAGCGTTTGAACAAAGAAGCTGAAGAAGAAGAAGAAAGGCAAAGAGCACTTTTGGAGGAAGAGAGGAGACAGCAACTGAGGATAGAAGAAGAGAAACGCCATAAAGAGGAAAAAGAGAGAGCCAGAGCTGGTTGGTATTTAAAAACCCTTGCTAACAGGCTACTTAACAAATTTCAGTATGTGTGGTACTTTAAAAAGTTGGCCATGCCTAAGTGCTGCTACATTTTCTAATAATCATTCAAGATGAAAATTAATTTCTTTTCTCAGAAAGGGCAAATCGTGCTAGACTGCGAGAAGAAAGAGCTCGGTTGATAGCTGAAGGTAAAGAAATTCCTGCTGAGCTGATGAACGGGCTCAGACAAGACGAGTAAGTTTTAAATGGTTTACTGATATTAAAACAAATTTTAATTGGTTGGAAATTTATTCTTGACTTGTTATTTTAACTAGGAATTTCTCAGCTATTTTTACTGATACAGCTGATTTTGATGAGTTCTGAGTGGTGTTCTTTAAAGTTATTAAGTCCTCAGTTTCTCTTCCATTAACAAAGGTGACTCCTAGTGCTATATTTGATTTATCTTGTAGATTCATTTTAGTTTCACCTACAGACAAATCTACTTTTGCTAGATTATTTTATTATTTATTTATGGACTTTCCCACTTGATAATTTGTTCCGTCATAGACTGAAGAGGGTTTTTCCACAGTAAGGAGAGAAACATGTCAACTGGCTAAGTATTGCATAGTCAATCTGTTGCAACTTGGGGTTTTTAAATTAACATAAGTTTGATAAAACTAATTTCAACTTGAGTTTTCAAATGAACATGAATTAGATGTAACTTATTTCAACTAGTGTTTTCAAATGAACATAAATTTTATGTAACTACTTTTCTGGTTATTCAAGGAATGAAGATGATGCACATGATGAATTGCAGAGGAATCTAGAAAAAGGTAATTCTTTCTGAATTGATGCACTAAATGAACAAACAAAGAAGCATGCCCCAAAGTAACTATTTTTCTACTAAGCTTTAAAAAGGTGGTCCAAAATACTTTTTTTTTTAGTGATAAATGTTTTGCATGTTTTAATCCTTTTTAAAATGTGATTTTTAATTGTTGCCACTGATAAAATTGAATTTTTTTAAACAGTATTGTTGACAATAAAGCGTAACGATCATTCTTGGCCTTTCTTGGAGGCAGTTGAAGAAGTCAATTCACCAGACTTTTTTGAAATGATCAAGGTATCGTTTGTTTTCCTATGAACTATTAATTATTTTGTTAAAATTTGCATTCCTTGATTTTATAAATCTGTTATATTACAATAGAGTATTGAAAACATAAATAAATTAAACTCCTGATCTCAGATGTATCAGAAAACTTGATTTAATAAAACTCTTATTACATGCCCTGATATAACACGAATTTGGAAATAACAGTTTTGACAAGCCTCCCCAAATTTTGTAAATTCGTATGCACAAGAAATTTTTTGTCACAGTCCATGGGGGAAAAAAAGTAATAATCTAACTTTATTTTCTGTATATTAGATATTAATTTGAATATAATAAGATTCTCATGGGGTTTTCTGAAATTTGAAATAAATAACCAAAGAAGTCCCCAACTATTGGGATGGGCCTGGAGGTGTCGACACAAGCAGTTGATGAAAAATGTTTGCTTTATGAGCTGTAGAAATCCCAACACTGTACATACAGGATAAAGGCTTCCGTGAGACCTCTGTGTATGTGTAAATTGTCATTACATTAACCATTTGTTTTGACAAGAAATGGGTTTCAGATTTTGAATGCATTATTGGCGTTAGGAGTCGTTTGCATAAAAATGTTGTAAATGCAATCCGATTTTTAGGAACTCCAATTATCACATTAAAGCTCTATTCCACTGTTTATGAAAGAAGGAAAATATAGAGCCCGTCTATTAACATATATTAAAAACTTTCGATAAATAAATATTAAAATTTAAAAGTTTTGAACAAAAGGGGAATATTTATTTATAACCATGAAAATAAAATGTCCCTTTTCTCCTATGTATGCAGGAGCCCATTGATTTGCTACAGATAGAGAAGAAACTATCTGACAGGGGCTACAAAAAACCAGAAGAGTTTGAGAGAGACATGAATCTTGTCTTTGACAATTGCATTGAGTATCATGGCAAGGATAGTGGTGAGTTTTAAAATAAACAGTTGGTCTTCTTTGGCTAAGAATTTTTAATGTGGACATTAGTGTGTTGTTCTTACTTTGTAATTAAAAATTAATTGAATAGAAAAAAGTGATACTTTTCTTAAATTTTGTTACTAACACTGACTATTCAAGCAAACCTGTGCCCACAATTTTTAGATCCAAATTTCATGTGTGTGTGTTAACTAAGTTTAAAAAAAAAAAAAATTATTTATAAAATGATTAAAAATTTTGTCATAGCATTATGGCTTAATTATAAAACACTACAACCGCTCCCTTAAAACTTAATACAAAAAAAACTGTAATCTGAACTTATATATATATATTTACTTTAAGACTTTGGCTACATGGCTGAGAACCTGAAGGGTGTTTTTGAGCGAAGCATGAGGCGCACATTCCGAGTGTACCTGGAGCCCTCCCACAGACCCATACGCCGTAAGGAGTTCTGGGGAGAATCATCATATGTCACTGAGTATGGTTTTGCTGGTATGAGGTCACGGAAAAGAGGAAGAAAAGTATGTTTAAGAGACATTAATTGATAATAAATTAATATCTTCTACTTTAATCATAGGTCCTGTTTTACACACCCTGAAGAACTCAGTAATTCTATTTTTTAATTGACTAACCTAGAAGAAAAATGACCAAGGCATGCATCATTGTCACGTGTGGGCTCTGTTGTCTAGCCCTGTCCGAAAATCCTAGTGGTTTACCTTTCCAGAAAGATATTTATTGGGAATTTAAATTATGAAGAAGTGTTTTATTGAGGATGAATATTTTTAGGCTAGATACCTATACAATATTAAAAATGTTTGTTTTACTATTTCAGAATTCAGATTCTGATTCTGATCCAGAGCCTTACATGACTGGTCGTGTTCTCTATCCTTCTGGAAGAAAATGGGGGGCTGACGAACATGAGAGTGAGAAAAAAGAGTAAGTATTTAAAATATTGTATGTCAGTAGATGTACAATACCAGACAATACTTACCTTTGTCAAAATATTTTAAGAATTATTTCTACTTACTGGGTATATATTTTAAAAACTAAATAAAAAGGCAATTAAAAATATATCCTAACATTTGTAAAGTATGTGTTATTAAATTGGTTCCCCTTACTTTGTCCAATTATTAAAATTAAAAAAGTAGTTTTGGACACATTAAATTTAACTCTTTAATTTTTATTTTATCATTTTTTTAGGCCTTTGAAGGCAGATGATAATGATGAAGATACCGCTCTGACGCCAAGAGCAACTTGGAGTTACCGCAGAGAACTGCTAGGACAAGATGCTGGGGACTTTGAATCTTACATTCCCAAAACTAAAAAAAAAAAGTCTGGGGAATTAGATGAGGTGATCAGCAGCAAAAGAATACCTGTAGACTTCAGCAAATACCCTGGCGCCAAATTTCGTTATTCTGCTCCAGTTAAAGACAGCTCTCGCAGTTTACCTCGCTTAAATATCATTGAATATGTTAAAAAAGAAAAACCAGCTGCATTGCCGGGAACAAACAAAGTACCACCTCCTGGTTTACCGTCGCTGTCCGGGGCACCCACAGTAAAAGCTAACCCTGTCAAAGTGGTCAAGATTTCCAGAGAAGAATATGAAAAGCTTTTGGCTGAAAATAAGATAACTATAGTTGACGCCAACAGCCCTGCGGGTCAGGTGATCAAGCTTAAAGCAGGGCTGCAGCTGAAAGAGACTAATCCTGCACCCAAACCTCCAGCACCACCAACTGCCCCGGCACAGGTGCCACCTGTTCAGGCTAACGCTGAAACTAATGTTTCAGATGTGCCGCTGAACACATCAGCTACTGTTAGCACTACACCAATGAAATCTCCACCCTCGCAGAGTAAAACCAAAGAAGTGCCAAGAAAAGCAGACCAAACACTTGACATAAAAGAGCGACTTAGAAAAGTTAATGAGAAAATTGCCTTAAGGAATACTCTCCGTCAAGCCAATGAGAAGCTTGCTAATAAATTAAAGAACACTATTTCTAGGGAGGAAAGTCTTGTACAAAGTAAAAATAATCCTCTTGGACAAAATGATAAATCTGAGGCAAATGCGAATGATTTCAATTCAGAGGAAGAAAAAAACCCAGCTAAATATACTAAAATTCTGTCAAAACATGAACTTGGAAAAAGTAAACACCATTCTTCAGATCAAACACCACCTGTGAAAAAAGTACGTTTTAGTGATGAACTTGAGCCCACAGCACCCAAATCTGACCAGCCCCTTCTTGCAAAAGAGGGGAATGAATCAAGTCTTAGGTTACAGGAAGGGCCAATGCCATCAAAACTTCAACCAACCAGCTCTAGTTCAGCAGAAAGAAAAAAGTCACCATCCCATCTCAGCTCGCCAAATTTCTCATCTCCACAGAAATCACTAGAAGCTGAATCGCAGCAGAGCCCGTCTATTTATGAAAAATGGAAGAGGCGAGCACAAAAAACACTGGAGAAACTTTCCCAAGATGATGAGGAACCGACACATAAACGACACAGAGAGATGGAAAGTTTGCGCGAGGCAAAACTCTCCGCACTTGATGAACCCCGGAACAAACGCATGAAAACTAAAACAGATGACCATTCCGATGAAACCATATCAAAACATTGTAACTCTCTGAAGGAAAGTGATTCGGAGTTTTCTGAGCCAGATAGTGTTGTTCATGAGCATTTGACAAGTATCACTTTGCTGGAGCCAGCGCATGAACAAAACAAAGAGAATGGGACATGTATCCAACCTTCATCTGTTGGGGCAGCTGCGGGGGGAGAGAGTCATCCCTTTTATAAAGCTCCTGAACTCCAGCAGGATCCAGCGGGTGATTCTTGTCACTCCCTGGAGCCATCATGTTCTAATAAGCTCGCATCTTCTTCATTAGAGCAGCCATCATCTTCTGCACAATCCCCAACCAAAATTTTGGTTGAACTCTCCAAACCAGCAAAGCAACCTTGTGCAGTGTCATTACCGTCCACATCCTTCGCTCACCTGAACCCAACAACGGCTCTGAAACTGAGCGGCTTGACATCACAGCTGGCCCAGGCGATGGCCCAGAAGAAAAAAAAGGCAGTTCAAGATGAAGGAAGATTTGAAAATTGTGATTCACCACGGGCCCTCAGTCCGCCACTGCTGGAGCCTATTGAACCCATCGGTGAGGCTGTCAGCAGTCGGGAACTGAGAGACAGTACTCCAGAAGATGATGAAATGCCGGTGTTGGTTCCAGATCACTTACCGCCATCACTTGTTGAGCCGGGCTCTGACAACATCTTTCAGCGCATGATGAGTCCTGAAAAAAGTAAAATGTAGTCTCATTCATGTGCTTCAAGTAAACTGTCATCCATCCCAATTGACGTTACAAACATGTTCTCAAAAAATATTTACTGAATTGTTGAAAGGATTGAATGAGAATAATGTTATATTTTTTAACCTAACGTAATGTTTGAATTTTTGCAGTCTTTTTTTGGTGCTGCTGTTAATGATGTAACAATTTGCAATATATCCCTTTTGAGTTAGATGTATTTACTTTAAAAAGTACTTGTATGAAAACTTGATGTAAATCTTCCTGTAATGAAATAACTTGATGTCACCTGTTAAGTTTTTTAATGTTAAGTCTGGTTTTTTTTATTGTAAGAGAATCCTGTGGACACTGGGGGGTGAATTTCACTAGGTTAATAGCTTGGAGTTTGAAAGATTTTATCAATTTTTTTTTTGATGCATGGTTAAGGGCTGTGTATGAGTTATTTTAACTTGACAATGTTTACTTATTAAGGTGTACAGTTTTTGTCAAAGAAGCTATTTATGCACATACATTGTATATATTAGGAGAATCGCATTTAAAAAATATATGAACCATTTAACTTGATATTTTATTTCCATTGATTTACAACCACGCTCACATGATGGTATAACTTATAACAAATCTATTTTTATTGAACAAAGCAAAGAAATATTTTTCGATAGATGGATCACTTGTATTCTGTCTTTGAAAGTGCAAACTTGGCCCTGTCGGGTCAGGCAGAATCTTCTTATTCTCTCATTTATACATGCTACTCTTTGATAAGAGGTGCACCAATCTGTCAAAATGTTGCTGTAGACCAAACTATTTTAATAGAAAAAACAGAAATGCCCATTTTCATTTTAATTCCACAGCCTCTCGTTAGTCTTATGAGAAAACATGGGCATGATAGACTCATGAGAACCATGGGTATGATAAGACTTTGAGAAAACATGGGTATGATAGTCTTCTGAGAAAACATGGGTATGATAGTCTTATGAGAACTATGGGTCTGGTAGTCTAATGAGAACCATGGGTCTGGTAGTCTTATGAGAACCATGGGTCTGGAGTCTTATGAGAACCATGGGTCTGGTAGTCTTATGAGAACCATGGGTCTGGTCACAGAACAAACTTTAAATTTCTTGTCATTATATCAACCGCTTGTGTTGCCAAGAAATGGGGTTTCAGCATTTAGAATTTGTTTCACAAGTAACAATCTTAAGAAGTACTGGTACTTGTCTGGGTTGTAAACTGATACGGTCGACCATTTTACACCTTATCAAATATATCGCCACCGCAATTATTGCTGTCAGCATTTGGTATAAGAATAAAAAGAATTAGACATGTAGATGCCCAATCATTTAAATATTTTTTGCACACATAATTGAAACTCGAATTTTGTTTTACCAGGACACAGAAAAAAATGTTGATGGGTGAATGAATGGCACTCTTGATGATGTATATCAAATTTGAAAAAATAATCCTGTTATTGTTGGTATGAGTTAAAACGAGGTTTAAAATAGCTTTTATGTATTGGCTCATTTGAGTACGGTAAACATTTGTATTGAACATGAAATGAGTTACCGGTATTTATATAACTAAAGATTAGAACTACAGTATTGAATGCCAGTTAAACTAAAATACAGCTTGGACAAAACGACCCGAATGGACTTACGCTAATAATATTCTCAGTTTTTTGTTTGTTAAAAAGACAAAATATGTTCTTTAAGTTGTAATAATGAAAAATGAAGTGGCTACTTACCCGCTGAATAGGGTTTTGTTCATTGGCCAGAATCTTGTGTTATCAACTTTTACCAGCTAGTATTACCAGCAGTCCACAGAGTACATCTCATGTACTAGGGAAATTCTATTGTGCTAGTTTACAAAGTTTTGTGTATCACTTCTCTGTTGTGTTCATGTAATATTATACAGTTTACAGGATCAAATTAGCTCAGAGGTCGGCAAACTTTTAGGGCTATTGGGCCATTTCATGGGGTCAAGTAGGCACACTGGGACATTTCATGGCGTCAAGTAGGCACACCCCGGGCAGACCTGTCTTACGATTTTGGCGTACAATGTACGATTTTGAGGTGTATACATTATATATGCTGTATGTTTATTTTTACTATAAATGTAACGTGTTGAACGATTTTGTGATGATGTTGTACGATTTTAAGAGTTTGAGGGTAAACAGGTCTGCACTGGGCCATTTCAGGGGGTCAAGTGGGCACGCTTGGCCATTTCATGGGGTCAAGTAGGCACACGGGGCCATTTCAGGGGGTCAAGTAGGCACACTGGGCCATTTCAGGGGGTCAAATAGGCACACTTGGCCATTTCATGGGGTCAAGTAGGCATGTGGGGGAGGTGAACTGTGCCAGATGAAACAAGGTGCCAAGACAGATGAAAAACAAGGTGCCAAGACAGATGAAACAAGGTGCCAAGACAGTTGAAACAAGGTGCCCAAGGAAAAGTTGTTTTATTCAAAAATATGGCACGATAAATCAAACAAATGGGAAACATGATATTGCATGCTCTTAGAGACAGATACAATATCTGGTCCTAATGATGAGGAGTTGTTTTGATTGTCATTGAGGTGATTGTCATTGAGCTAAAAGCGCAGCTTGTTCTAACAGAACTTCATCTAGAACAGTTGCTCGTATAAATAAGTGCGCTTTGAGATCACACACTTGGCACTGGCTAATAACAGTGGAAACTGAGCACGTTGACGGTACTGGATCGTAGAAGTCAATGAGAGTGTTGCAAGAATCAACTCCAATTGCCCATCAGAGAGGACGTCGTCATATGAAAAGTCAAAAGGAGTGCTGACGATATTGAGCTCATGGGAATGAGAACGCGTATAGGTGAAGCACGAAGATGATTCATTTCGCAGTGTTTACAACACACTGATCCATGTTTCAGTGCCATTTAGTGCTCATTGGGTGAGGCGAGGCAAATAAACATGGTCGCCCTTATACAGCTGTTTATCCCAATAGAATTTGCTGCAAATGTCCACACGTGGGCTTCCATGTTTGTGATGACCACGTTAATTGCAGCTTGAGGTTAAGTTCGTTAAGGTGAGAGCCGATATCAGTGAGGAAGCCGAACTGAGGCAAACTTCCTCAGAAAGCCTTTGATGCTCCTCTCACTGACAATGAAACGATGTTGTGGCGGAGGGTGAAGACGTGCTTCAAGACAGCCATGACTGAGCCAGTGAACCTCAGTGTGTTAAAGAAGGTTGCTGTCATCAGCCTCTGCAGCATTGCACAGGTGCTTGAAGATGCAGTGTTTGAGAGGACGAGCAAGCACAACTGCACAACAGACTTAATGTCCTTCATGCCTGCTGCCTTGGCACACAATGACTCCTGGTACACGATGCAGTGCACCTTGCATATCTCCTTTTTATACCCCAAAGAGCCACAGTGGCTGATGAGCGGCTGCGAAACTCCCTTGGTAGATCCAACCGTGACAGGTGCACACTCGGTAGTTGCTGAGACGAGCTGCGACAAGTCGAAACCACTCAAAGCAGGTAGGAGGGCCATCTTGGCCAGTTGTCCTTCCCTTCATTGGGATGAGGCTGAGAAACACCTCGACCACCTTTAGGTCTTGCCTGATGCCAGGCATAAAGATGGTCAGCTGTTCAGTGTCCTTGATGTCCCGATGGAGAATTTATCTAGAGTTTTCAACTTTGTGACATCAGTGACAAGGAGACATCAGAAGCCTAATCCTGCATGCGTTGAGTTCCAGTGCCGGCAGACAGGGTGTGTAGCCTTGAAAGCAAAGCATCATGTTGCTCTGGAAAAATCACTTTAACAGCAGCAAGTATACAATCCATTATAATTTCTGCATCAGTGAAGGGATACATTTTCTTCACTATCAACAATGACACTATGTAAGAGGCACAAATGTGACACTCAGAAGTTTGGAGGCCTGCTTCTTGAAGGACGACTGTAGATCCAACCGTGACTGCAAGCCTCAGTCTTCCGCTGATATGCGGTGTAGTCTCTGTACGTGTGCCTGGTTCAGAAATACTCCTTAAGATTTGACCGCTTGAAAGTGCTCTTGGTGTCGTTGCACACGACACAAAAGGCTTTGTTGCAGCTTTAGACAAGGAATAATTGATAGTCCATTCAGGGTTGAAGAGGCTGTTCGAGGTAAACCTTCCTGAGACTGGTAGCTGTGCGTTTCTTCTGCTCTTTTGGAATAGTAATTGTGATTACTGTGCTGAAACAAAATGTTGGTGCGGCAACTTGAGTTGTGAACATTGGTAGTGAAGGGGAACAAAACGGTCAACGATTCAATTAGGCGGGATGCAATAATAAAAAAAACTAGGTCTGGAATACTAGATGGGCCGTATCTGGCCTAAAGGTTGCCGACCTCTGTTTCAGGTGCACAAAAATGTGAAATGTGTTGTAGTTTGTAGATTATATTTGGAATGTCCATGTCATTGTTGTCACTATTAGTCACTTTGAAACTGCTAGAAATCTAATTTAGTTCATTGTTATCTTTTTTCTATGGGTATAACTTTTTGATTGCTTTTTACTTCTTGTCATTATATAAAATTCACCGTATTTCCTAATTAAATGAGTGGCACAATGTTGTTACATTCTACATGTATGATCCACTTAGGACAAAATTGTGAGAGCTGTACAGGTAGACATCTGTGCCGGCTATCAGTAGCAGTTTTCAGTATTTGTTAATTAATATTTACCAAATCCTAGTACCCAATTAGGATTATTTATCAGCAAGACCACCTCAAGTAAACCACTGTGACTTGTTCCAAAAATGTACTTTGTACTTTAGAATAGAATTAGTGTGTGACTCAACAATTTTTAATTTCAATAGTCTCAAAACATTTACACAAAGAATATTTCTTAACTTGGAATCAAGTGATATTAGATTTTGGTATGGTTATTTCTTTTAGAAAATTACTATCCCTTGATGCTGTCAGGTTGTCGGCACAGGGAGACTTTTGGCTAATTTGTGCACATCATGGTCCAACATTTGCCAACAATAGTCCCACTAAGGGAAATATTCTTGAAGGTGTCTCGACCTGAAGGTGTCTAGATTGTACAGATTCATGCCAACT